CCACAATGCCTGGCTAACTTTTGTATTTTTAGTAGAGACGGGGTTTCACCGTGTTAGCCAGGCTGGTCTCTTATCTCCGGACCTCATGATCTGCCCGCCTCGGCCTCTCAAAGTGCTGGGATTACAGGCGTGAGCTACTGCTTCCAGCCCCATACTTTTTTTTTCTTCTTCTGAGACAGTCTTGCTCTATCGCCCTGGAGCGCAGGGGCACAATCTCGGCTCACTGCAACCTCGGCCTCCTGGGTTCACTCCAGAGTGAACAGGCCTGGGGCTGTTGCGAGGTTCCTTGGTAAGGGGCTCTCTAAGAGCTTTAGGAGTTCAAGGTGGAATCAGAGGTAGAAAAGACAAATGGTTGGGATATTCTGAGAAGAGGTCAGAATGTGGTCAGAGGGGAAAGAACCAGAGGATTGACCAGACACCAGCAGAGTTGTTTAGCATCTTAGAAATCATTTACAGGAAGGGCACGGTGGCTCACGCCTGTAATCCCCACACTTTGGGAGGCCGAGGCGGGTGGATTACCTGAGGTCGGGAGTTTGAGACCAGCCTGGCCAACATGGTGAAAGCCCATTTCTACTAAAAATACAAAAGTAGACGGGCACAGTGGCGCATGCCTGTAATCCCAGTTACTTGGGAGGCTGAGGTAAGAGAATTGCTTGAACTCTGGAGGCGGAGGTTGTGGTGAACCAAGCTTGCACCTTTGCACTCCAGCCTAGGCAGCAAGAGTGAAACTCCTGTCTCAACAAGAGGAAGGAAGAAAGGGAAAAAAAAAAAAATTAGGCCGGGCACAGTGGCTCACACCTGTAATTTCAGCAGTTTGGGAGGCCGAGGCGGGTGAATCACGAGGTCAAAAGTTCAAGACCAGCTTGACCAATATGGTGAAATCCCGTGTGTACTAAAAATACAAAAATTCGCCGGGTGTGGTGGTACGTGCCTGTAACCCCAGCTACTGAGGAGGCTGAGGCAGGAGAATCATTTGAACCCAGGAGGCGGAGGTTGCAGTGAACCAAGATTGCTCCACTGCATTTCAGCCTGGGTGACAGAGGGAGACTCTGTCTTAAAGAAAGAAAAATAGCCAGCTGTGCACACCTGTAGTGCCAACTACTTGGGAAGTTGAGGTGGGAGGATTGCTTGAGGCTGGGAGCTCGAGGCTGCATGGAGCCGTGATTTCACCACCACTCCTGCTTGGATGACAGAGTAAGACCCTGTCTCAAAAAAAAAATCGTCATTTAGGGCTGGGAGATGTGACTCATGCCCGTAATCCTAGCATTTTGGGGGTGGGGGGAGGTGGAGGCTGGAGGACTGCTTGAGCCCAGGAGTTCAAGACCAGCCTGGGCAACACAGTGAGACTCCATCTCTTGGGGGAAAAAAAAAAAAAAAAAAAAAAAAAAAAAAAGCCCGTGTGGTAGTTTGCACCTGCAGTCTCAGGAAGCTACTGAGGAGGCTGAGGCAGGAGGGTGCTTCAGCCCAAGTGGTCAAGGCTGCAGTGAGCCACGGAAACTGATCCTGCACCCTGGGTGACAGAGGTACACCCTGTCTTCAAATGATAAAATAACCCAGCCTGGCCAACATGGTGAAACTCCATCTCTACTAAAAACACAAAAAATTGCCAGGCATGGTGGCTCACGTCTATAATCCCAGCACTTTGGGAGGCCGAGGCAGGTGGATCATGAGGTCAGGAGTTTGAGACCATCCTGGCCAAGGTGGTGAAACCCAGTCTCTACTAAAAATACAAATGTTAGCCAGGCGCAGTGGTGGGCACCTGTAATCCCAGTTACTGGGGAGGCTGAGGCTGGAGAATCACTTGAACCCAGGAGGCAGAGGTTGCAGTGAGCCGAGATTGTGCCACTGAACTCCAGCCTGGGCGACTGAGACTCTGTCTCTAATAATAATAATGATGGTACTTACCTCATGAAATTGTGAGATTAAACATGAACATGAAGTTGTGAGATTTAAGCTACGTATATTTATTGCCTAATATATATATGATATATATGTATCGGCTATACATATATATATATATATAAAATTTTTTTTTTTCTTCTGAGACAGACTCTTGCTTTGTGTCCCAGGCTGGAGTGCAGTGGCACAATCTCGGCTCACTGCAACCTCCGCCTCCCAGGTTCAAGCGATTCTCCTGCCTCAGCCTCCTGAGTACTTGAGACTAGGTGTGCATCACCACTCCCAGCTAATTTTTGCATTTTTAATAGAGACAGAATTTCATCATGTTGGCCAGGCTGATCTCGAACTCCTGACCTCAAGTGATCCGCCCACCTCGGCCTCCCACAGTGTTGGGATTACAGGTGTGAGCCAGAGCCCTGCCAAAATAGTGTTTATTGAGTACTAACTGTATACCAGACATTGTGATAAGCAAGAGCTTTAATGTTGCCCAATTTAGGGCCGGGTGGGATTGCTCATGCCTGTAATCCCAACACTTGTGAGAGGCTGAGGCATGAGGATCAGTTGAGCCCAGGAGTTCAAGACCAGCCTGGCCAACATAGTAAGACCCCTCTCTACAAATAATTTAAAAATTAACTGGGGGTGGTGACGCATGCCTGTAATCCCAGCTACTCTGGAGGCCGAGGCAGGCGAATCGCTTGAACCCGGGAGGCAGAGGTTGCGGTGAGTGGAGATTGTGCCATTGCAGTCCAGCCTGGGCAACCAAGCGAGACTCCGTCTCAAATAAATAAATGAATGAAAATGCTATTCCTATCCTTCGGACCTCATTTTCCTTAGCTATAAATTGAAAATGTTTAATCAATGATTCTTCTGGGGAGCTTACTCCCCTCCCTGGTGGGTTGCATGAGAGTCACACTAGGGGCTTATTTTCAAATAACATACCCTCACTGGAGACTTTTATTCAACCCCTAAGGCAGTGATTTTTCTAATACCTTGCTTAAGAATGATGGGGGCAATTTGCCAAAATGGAGATTCCTGAGTCCCAGTGATTCTGACTCAGTACATCTGGAGTTGGTTCCAGAATTCAAGTTTTTGTTTGTTTGGTTTTGGTTTTGTTTTTTAAATATTTTTTTCTTTTTTTTTTATTATTATTTTTTAAAAACGGGGTTCCACCATGTTGGTCAGGCTGGTCTTGAACTCCTGACCTCAGGTGATCCGCCCGCCTTGGCCTCCAAAGTGCTTGGATTACAGGCGGGAGCCACCACGCCTGGCTGGTTTTGGTGTTTTTTGATACCAGAGTCTCGCTGTCACCCAGGCTGGATTGCAGTGTTGCAATTTTGGCACACCACAACCTCCGCCTCCTGGGTTCAAGTGATTCTCCTGCCTCAGCCTCCCCGGTAGCTAGGATTACAGGTGTGCGCCAACATGCCTGGCTAATATTTGTATTTTTAATACAGATGGGGTTTTGCCATGCTGCCCAGGCTCATCCCGAACTCCTGACCTCTGGTGATCCACCCACAAGCCAAATGCCTTGGCCTCCCAAAGTGTTGGGATTACAGGTGTAAGCCACCATGCCCGGCCAGAAGTCAGGTTTTTGTTTTGTATTTTTGAGACAGGTCTTGCTTTGTCGCCAGGCTAGAGTTCAGTGGTGAGATATCGGCTCATTGCAACATCTGCCTCCCGGGTTCAGGTGATTCTCCTGCCTCAGCCTCCCGAGTAGCTCGGACTACACGCACCCACTACCAAGCCTGGCTAATTTTTGTTTTTAGTAGAGACGGGGTTTTCACCATGTGAAAACCTCATGATCCACCCCCACCTTGGCCTCCCAAAGTGCTGGGATTACAGGTGCCAGCCACCTTGCCCAGCCCAGAATTCAGCTTTTAACAAATGATCTGGATGTAAATGGCCCACAGAATCTGTGCATTGCGGATGGGGGAAGGGCACAACCCCCCGAGTCTCTCTTGCTCCTGGATGGTCTGATAAGAAGTGAAATGTTCCACTTGCTGAGAATTACTAACCCCAGGTTTCCTTCTAGCTTGGACACTGGTTCTCAGGAGGAATCCTCACCCCTACCAGGAGCCCTTCTGCTCCACCAAATACTGCTGGGCTCTACGCACCCCACTTCTCATTTTAAGCCTTAAAATTCACTCCCCACTATTTCTGCCCCCCTCTCTACTTTCATCCTCACAAGAGTCCCATGCAGCTGGGGTAGACGAGTCATTTTCCTCTCTTGGGACCACGCTAAAGAGGCAGCCTATGATTGCCACGAGGGTAAGGGAGCCCTGCACTGCAGATCAATCATTTCCAGAAAAGCCAGAACTCTGAATTTTTCTGTGCAATTTCTGAAATTTTAAATCAGATTTTTTTTTCCCTGAAATTCAATAGATCCGATACCACAAAATCTCCTTTTGCTAAAGGAGATTCCTTAAACCACCAAGAACAAGGCAGAGATGATCTCTCACCCTTCCCAACACACAATTTCCACACCCAGTAAGCTGAGTCTCTGTCTGGGTGGATAATTCCTTTTTTTTTTTAATCTTGGACAGCTGCTCTCTGTAGCAAGGAACCCAGAACTTTGGGTAACCTAAGGGATATCAGTCTGGTTGTCAGTAAAAAGGTGCCAGAGGATTTGTGCTGTATCCCCTAACCACACAGTTCCTGCTCAGTCTCTCATCTCCTTGGCAGCTATGTCTGATGGCTAGATAGGAGTTGGCGTGATCTTCCAGAAAAAGAACAGGCGTCCTGTCTTGCAGAGGCAGGAAAGAAGTCAGAAAGCTGTGTGTGTGCGCGTGTGCGCTTAGGAGGAGGGGGGTCTCAGGTGGCACTGGCAGTGGGAGGGAAATCATTAAGAGTGGCAATTGGCCAGTTGAGGTGGCTCACACCTATAATTCCAGCACTTTGAGAGGCTGGGCAGGTGGATTGCTTGAGCAAACAAGTTCAAGACCGTCATGCACGTGATGAAACCCCGTCTCTACAAAAAATACAATTAGCTGGGCTTGGCAATGCACGCCTATAGCCCCAGCTACTCAGGAGATTGAGATGGGAGGATGGCTTAGGGCTGCCAATTGCACTGCTGAAGTCCAGCCTGGGTGACAGAGCCAGACCTTGTCTTTAAGAGGGCTGGGTGTGGTGGCTCATGGCTGTAATCCCAGCAGTTTGGGAGGCCAAGGCGGGCGGATCATTTGAGGTAGAGTTCGAGACCCGCCTGGCCAACAGGGTGAAATCCTGTATCTACTAAAAATACAAAAATTAGCTGGACATGATGGCATGTGCCTGTAATCTCAGCTGTTCAGGAGACTGAGGTGGGAGAATGGGAGGCAGAGGCTGTCGTCAGCCGAGATCACACCACTGCACTTCAACCTGGGCAACAGAGCTAAACTCCATCTCAAAAAAAAGTATCCGGCTCAGCTCGGCCTGGCGCAACTGCAGCTGGGAGGCGACTGGAGTATGTCGGCCCTGTTTGAGGAGTGGAGTGGGGTGGTTCTGTGTGGGACCCCGTGGGGCCAGTGGTACGACTCTGGAGGAGGTGTTCATTGAAGTTCAGGTGCCACCAGGCACGTGCGCCCAGGATATCCGGTGTGGCCTGCAAAGCCGCCTTGTGGCACTGGCAGTGGGCAGCCGCAAGATCCTCAAGGTAGAGACAGTTCGAGGCTTGTGTTGTGTCCTCTTCCCAGCCACCCCCAGCCCCCGAGTCCTGAAGTTCATGGTTTTCCTGAATGACTGTTGGGTGTCCGGACTACTCCTGTAGCTGGCACAGAGAGAGGGGATAGGTAACACTGACCAGGTTTGGGTCTGGTCGGAGCCTCCCTCTTCAGGGCAGGTGCTGAATTGTGGAAATTTGAGGAGTCCATTTTCCAGTTTTCAAACCAAGTCAGACTGCTGCTTCTGCTTCTCTAAGGGGCATCAGCTGGGAACAGACTAGGTTGCTAAAGGAACAGATATTTCTTCCAGTCACTGAAGACAGGAAGGAAGGTGGCAGGAAGACAATGAGACAGATAAGGTCCCTGCAGTGGCAAGGTTAAGCTCTTGTTGGGGGGAGTAACTAATAGATTTTTTAAAAAGTATCCAAGAAAAACTACACTACCCAAAACGAAACCAGCTGGGTTGCCTAGGCCTTGGCTGTAGTCACTAAAGAATGGCAACAGTCTCAGAAACCCTGAAGATGGGGTCAATTTAAGATGAGGCTGTTGGCCGGGTACGGTGGCTCACGCCTGTAATCCCAGCACTTTGGGAGGCCAAGGCAGGCGGATCACGAGGTCGAGAGATCAAGACCATCCTGGCCAACATGGTGAAACCCCGTCTGTACTTTAAAAATACAAAAATTGGCTGGGCGTGGTGCTGTGCACCTGTAGTCCTAGCTACTGGGGAGGCTGAGGCAGGAGAATTGCTTGAACCCAGGAGGCTGAGATTGCAGTGAGCTGAGATTGCGCCATTGTACTCCAGCCTGGCAACAGAGCAAGAGTCTGTTTCTTCATTCTGTACTGTCTTTGGCGTCCACCCAAGGTCTGACATCAACTCATCCTTCAAGCTAACAATTCAGAGGAGTAAGAGCACTTAAGGAGAAGCAGAGCACACAGCCAGGGTTTGAGAGACAGAGGAAGGCTAAAATTACTCTGGCCTTGCCAGGCGACATCTTCCCCAAACTTCTCAGATGTATATTCCTCCCTAACACTGCCAACGAGGGCTCCTTCCCTTCAGCTTGGGACTGAAAACTTCCAGCAGTAACATGTGAGTATGTGCGCCTGTGCAGGGGCTTGTCCTGGCACCACTGGAAACACCTCCCTGCTTGGTGCTGCCCACAAGACCGTGTAGGTGGCCAAGAAAGCGACTTCCATTAGACAGTGTTTTTCTGTGTGTACTGGAAAAAGATGCTCCAAATCGTCACTTTATTATGTGGCAGTCACCGGGGTGCCAGCCTCTGCTCGTCCCACATCACTCTTTTAATCCAGGGCTCTCCAGGCATTTTCTTGTTTGAGTCTCACAAATCAAGGTCAATGTCCATTACAGGCCTGTGCTCCCCTTTTCTTCAGTACAGGGCGGGGCTCATGTAACCAAGTCCCGAGTACTGATTTTTTTGTTTGTTTTTTTTTTTTTTGAGACTGAGTCCTCACTCTGTTGCCCAGGCTGGAGTGCAGTGGTGTGATTTTGGCTCACTGCAACCTCTGCCTCCCAGGTTCAAGCGATTCCCCTGCCTCAGCCTAACAAGAAGCTGGGATTACAGGTACATGCCCCGACACCCGGGTAATTTTTTTTATAAAAAAAAAAATTTTTGGTAGAGACGGGGTTCCATCATGTTGGCCAGGCTGGTCTCGAACTCCTGACGTCGTGATCCACCTGCCTCGGCCTCCCAAAGAGCTGGGATTACAGGCATGAGCCACTGCACCTGGCCTATAGCTGTCTCTTAACTGGTCCTGGTGAGGCCCGCCAACACCAGTGTAGAGCCCTGGGAGGAGCACGGATGACGAGACTACCCCAAGGGGGATGGATGTAGGAGCAGAGACATTTCTTGATCTCACTCTGCAAACTGGTCCAAAAACTTGAGGTAGGCCTGACGCTGGGGTGCAGCTGCTGGAATGAAGTGGCCACCGGAGTGAGTGAGGGTGACCGCTTCAGGGAATCGGCTGGCCAGCTGCATACTCTCCGGAGAGGGGATGACTTTGTCAGTGTCCCCGAAAACATGGAGGGAAGGCAATGACAAGGGTCTTTGCAGGATAGATTCCTTGAATCCAAGGCCCCGGGGACAGAATCCAGATACCAAGATGACAAACCGCGGCAAGGGGAAGCGGGAATCGCCTGCCTGGCCCAGGGCGCACACGAGGGCTGCCAGCGCAGCCCCTTGGCTGAAACCAAGAAGCCCATCAAAAGGCCCCAGCCTGTTCAGGGCCTGCGCCACCGTCCCCAGGGCTTCCTCCAGGCCCCTGCACACGGCGGGCTCTTCCAATGCTGAGAAAACGTCCGCCTCTTGCTCTGAAAACCACCAGCCTCGAGGCTGCTCCTCCGGAGGGCAGGACCCTACAGCGATACGGGGAAAGAGGCTGGGCTTAGGGCACGGGAGGCTCCAGGAAGGGCGGGAGGATTCGAGATGGCAGAGAAAAAAGCGGGCAGGAAGGCGAAAGTCTAGGGGAGAGTAGAGGGGGAATGCAGGGATTGGCCTGAATAGGAGGCGACGGAGGACGGCGGAAGCCTGGGAGCACAGGCAGTACGTTGAGCAGGAGGGGATAGGCTGGGTGGGAGGAATGAGGGTGGGGGACGCTGAGGGGACGAAACAAGATGGCGAAAGCCGAGTGCATTTCCAGAGCAGGGCTTGTCTCACCGAAGTCTGATCTGGCGCTCTCGGGGCCCGGGGCGTCCGGGACCGGGTGCGGGCCGCTGAGGCACACGAGGTCGGCGCGGCCCCGCAGCGCCTTCCTCAGTGCTCCGGTCTTCTCGCGGAAGCCCCGCTCACTCTGCCGGAAGCCCGCCAGGCACAGGACCCGGAGGGTTCGCTGCTGCGTGGCCATTATGCTCGGCAGAATCGCAATGAAAGCACCGGAAGCGGCCTTTCCCCGAGCGGAAGGAGAGTGCAAGGGGCGGAACCAAACGCAGGCACCACCCCGAAGGCGGGCCTCGCAGCGCCAAGACGTTCCCATGACAACGGTGAGGGGAGGGGCGCAGCCAGAGCAGAGGCGTACCTGGGGGCCGGGAGCGTGTCAAGGAGCGAGCGGCGCCACCTTCTCGTCTCTGCAGCTGCAGTCCTCGCAAGCCACGGCTGAAGGGGGCTGCGTGGACCCCTCCTGCACCTGAGGTCGCAGACTTTGGTCAGGGTCTCGCTTCTGCCACCCTGCATTTCCCGTCGCGGTCGCCGGGCGGCGGCCTCGGCTTGTGTCGCCAGAGGCGGCCAGGGCCCAGGCGCAGTCTCTCCTCCCTCCTGGAAACCCCGCCCACCTTCCCCTGCGCGGGCCGGCCCAGGGCCTGGGGACGCCGGTCTTGGCCGTGGTTCACCGTCCAGGGCCCCAAGGAGCTGCCGGCGTAGAAGTCCATGGGGTAGGGCTGCTGCCAGGAAATGGCCCTCAGGGCCACGGCCGCCTGCGGGGGAGACCAGACAGAACATTTGCCCGTGTCTTCCTGGTCCTGGATACTGAAACTCAGCCCTCACAACAGCCTGTGAAGGGCACACAGTCCCCTACCACGGAAGTGAAGTGTGTGGTTCAGAGGTCAGGGCCTTGTCTAACACCACACAGCTAGGAACTGGAGAATTCGAGAAAGACTCCGGAACCTATTAACATAACCAAATCCTGCCCACCCACCCCACCCCACTCCAGACCTGGCCTTTGAGAAGCACGTGCAAAACCCACTCTCCCAGGGGTTCGGAACTTGGTGTTACCTCATAGGGTGTCAGCAGCGGCTTGGGGAAGGCTGTGCCCCAGTCAATGGAGAGCCGTGGACACGCCACCTGCACCCACCTGGGAAGGGAAGCCAGGTCAGACCCTAGGAGGTGCCGCCCCTCCCTCCAGGCAGCATGCTGAAGAACATGACAGTACCCCTACAAACCCATTAATTACCAAGCCTTACGAACCCTAGAGTAAACACAGTCACCTGCTGCTGTTTGGGATACTGCATTGTTTTGTGTTTTCTCCTGCTTCCTCTGCTGACAATGAGCTTTCCAGGGCAGCTCACTGGTGAGAGCATCCCCAGAACCAAATTTAGTATCTGCTACCGGGGGGGTCGGGCACCCCTGCAACTCATCTCAATGACAAATGTGATGCTGCCATTGCCTCTGAGCCCTGAAGCAGGTGTGACCCAGTTAGCCCTGCCTGGGAAGTCTCTGTCAACACTAAAATTCCATGACCATGGAAGCAATTCCTATTGGCTCCAGCCTTCCAGACAGGCTGGGCAGGACCCAACTTCTAAGCTGCTTTATCCAGAGTCATAGCCAGGCAGGTAAGGTGGGGAAACTCACACATCCACCTCAGGAAGTAGGCGAAGCTTGCTGGGGAAGATCTCAGAGAGCAGCAGCCTCACGAAGGAAAGGCCCAGGGCTCGGAGCTGGGACTCCAGGTGCTGTTGGGAGGAGGCAGCAGGATGGAGGTCACCATGCTCATGCAGCCAAAGCTGAACCTGTGGTTTTCCCAGCTCCTCCCCTCCTCCAGAGGCCCTCCGGAGCCCACTGACCTCCAGGATCTTAGGACTGCCCTGGCGACCCAAAGTGCCTAGAATGAGGCCCCAGGACTTAGCTGAGCGGGCAGCAGTTATGGCTTCCTGGCGAGCAGCTTGCATGCGCTGGTGGTCATAGTGCTCTCTCGACAGGACTTTGCTATATGGGTCATACCTGGAAAAGCAGCAGCCAGGGTCACTGAGACAGCCACTGTGGGGACTCTTGGGCACACAGCCCCTGACTCAGCCCTGTAGGCTCCTGAGCCTTTAGGCCCTATGCAGGTCATTGGGAACAGAGGCAAGAGTGGGGACTGTCATTAGGAAGACCTGTCCCATAGCTGGAGCAGATAGGAGCTGGCAGTTTCGGGATCTCAGTGTAAATCCCCAGGGCTGCAGGTAACAGCAGCCCTGGGGCGAATGCCCACATCTAGTGCCCATGTGCCTCAGACCCTTAGGGTTGGTGGCTTAGCAGCCAGGAAATGAGGATGCAACCAACTGAGGGCATGAGTGGCCGCAAATCTGACCCCTCACCAGCTGCCAGCCCAGCCCAGCCCAGCACATACCGGTAAGCAGGGACGTTGGGGTTGGCAATCATGACAGACTCCAGATGGAATCGGCCATCTCCAAGATACCTGCAGGGGTGGAAGGGAGGCTGTATGTGTGATCTGGGCAGAAGAGGCACTCGCTGGCTTAGTCGTTCAGAGGGCGGAGTTCACGGCTGGCTGTGCTGTGACTGTGTAAACTGGGACAGCCAGCATTTCACCTCACAGAGCCTTGGTTTCCTCACATGTAAAAGAAAGGAGTTTGAATTGGATGACTGTATGGTCTCTCTCATCACGTAACGCAGAATCTAAGAACTGTCCCACCCAAGCTTCTGGGGAAGAGTGAAGGGGCAGCCCAGGCCAGACCAGGCTGCCTGCAGTTCCAGAACTCCTCATCCGGAAGCTGGGGAACAGATTCTCCCTTACAGGCTCAACACAGACGTGGACAGCAGCGTTCAGGGAGTCACCTACGCCAGCAGTAATCAACCTTCTTGGCACCAGGGACAGGTTTCATGGAAGACAATTTTTCACAGACACGGGTGGGAGTGGGGTGATGGTTTCAGGATGAAACCGTCCCACCTCAGATCATCAGGTGTTAGATTCTCAGAAGGAGCACGCCACCTAGATCCTTCGAATGCACGTCACAACAGGGCGTGTCCTCCTGGGAGCACCTAATGCTGCTGCTGATGGGACAGGAGGCGGAGCTCAGGCAGCCATGGCCCCTCACCTGTACAGCTCGGTTCTTAACAGGCCGCGGTGTCAGGGGTTGGGGACCTCCGAGCTATGCTGTACATTAGGCTGCAGCCATACACAATCGCTACTTTGTGCCCAGACTAGCTCTTGGGTCCAGTTACTGAGTTACAACAACAGCTACTGGATTTTCATGTTTTGTTTTTTTTGAGGCAGGGTCTTACTCTGTCACTCAGACCAAGTGCAATGGCGTGGTCACGGCTCACTGCAGCCTCGGCCTCCCAGGCTCAAGCGATCCTCTCACCTAAGCCTCCTGCGTAGCTGGGACTACAGGCATGGACACCGTACCCAGCTAATTTTTTCTTTTTCTTTTTTTTTGTAGGGTGGGGTCTCACTATGTTTCCCAGGCTGGTCTCAAACTCCTAGATATAAGCAAATCTCCTGCCTTGGCCTCCCATAAAGCGCTGGGGTTACAGGCATGAGCCACCATGCCCAGCCACCAGCTACTGTTTATTGGGTTTTTGCCTTCTGTGTACCAGACACAGACAAAGTACCTGATGTGAATTAGTTCACTCAGTCCTGTCTACTAATCCTCCAAGATACCTACAGTATACCAGTTTTACAGAAGATACAACTGAGGCTCAGGGATGTTAAGAAACTTGCCTCCAGCTGGGCGCGGTGGTTCACGCCTGTAATCCCAGCACTTTGGGAGGCTGAGGCGGGCGGATCACCTGAGGTCAGGAGTTCAGGACCAGCCTGACCAATATGGTGAAACCCCATCTTAAAAAAATAATAAAAATAAAAAAAGAAACTTGTCCAATTATACAGCTATGAAGCAGCACACCTGAGGCTTAACCCCAGGCCCTCAGCCATGCTAACCCTAACATGGCTTCCCAGGCCATGAAGACTCATAACCCTAAGTGTGGCTTCCCAGGCCATGAAGACTCCAGAGTGTGGAAGCTCACCTGCCTGTGACAGCTTCTCTCCCTCTCGGAGACCACACTTCATTTTGATGAATGGCCAACACTCTGGGTGTCCCTCCCTCCAACATACACTTGGAAGCCCCTAAGGGTGGATACGGAGTGATGCAGGCGCAGGAAGCGCTCCTGGGGGAGCAGGACTGCCAGGCCTGGGCTGGGGAAGGCCCTGATGAGGTCCTGTCTAGGGGGCAAGCCCCAGAAGTGGGCTGAGTCAGGAGTGTCCTCCCTCCCTGCCATTAGTAAGGAACAGGGCTCCCTCCCCTAGTCCCAGCCGGGGGAGCTGTCGGCTCTCAGGCTGGCTGCATTCACACAACATTAAGCATTTCCATTACCTAAAATAATTAGGCGGCAGGAGACACGCTGCTTCTGCTTGTTAGCTGTCCGGATGGTAAATTAATGGGGCTGCAGCCTGGGCGTGCCCATCCATCTTCGCCAATTATATTCCTACCACTGTCAGCCCACCCTCATCCCCCCATCAGGCCCTCTGGATGGCGGACTGGGCAGTGGGGAAAGAGATAGCCCAAGTCGAGTCCCTTTCTGGTGCCCACCTTGCACTGTGACCTTGGGCTGCAGGTAAGGAGCGTTAGATTCAGTTTCTTTCCTGTATGATGACCCTTGGGCTCCCTCCCAGGGCACATTCTTATGTCTCTAGGATTTGGCCCCCATTTTTAACTTACACAACGGCCTCTACCTCTTCGGGCAGTCGGGGGGATGTGCAGCCCAGAATCTCTCCAGGGGACAGGGGCTTGCACTGTGGGACACTCACACGATACTCAGCTTTTAGCTCCTGGGCAGCTGCCTGTAGGAAGGAGGGGGAAAGGGAAGCCAGAGGCTGAACAACCTGGAGCACCTGGCATGGGGACCCAGCAACAGCTGGAGAGTGGCCACCGTCTGCCCTGCAAGAGGCTGAGGATCCACATTCCACCCACCTGCAAGGTGGACACAAACTGAATGGTGCTGACCAGGGCAAGGGCAGTGGCCGGGGGAAAGGTGAGGCGGAGAGAGTCCAGCAGGTGGGCAGCATCTATCCGGATGTCGACGAACACGTACAGCACCCGCAAGTCTTGGGCCGAGGTGTCCATTGGAACTGGGGGAGGGAAGCATTCAGGGGCCGTTTGGGAAGGCAGGAGCCGCAGAGGGCCCGGGCGGAGGTCTCTGAGCAGCCAGGCCCAGTAGGTAACCTGGAGGTAGATGAACAGGGTAGGAGAAGAGGGGTTCACAGGTCCCCTAGAAGCTCTTTCTCAGTCAGGCTTCTGTGTCACCCGGCCAGGGGCCGGTCTGCACTAAACAGCCTTTCAAACACCTGCATCCGGGACAGAGCACAGTTTCCAAGGCAACCAAATCCAAAGGCAAGATCCACCTGCAGAGCGGGAAGGCGGAGGCCATCCCAGAAACCAGGAGGGACCTCGTGCCGCAACCAGGACAGGAAGGCGCTTCGAGGGGGAAGATGAGTGTCCGGCCTGCCTCTCGCCAGCCCTGCCACCACTGAGGTGTCCTGGCCCCGCCATACCTAGGCAGCTGTGGCCATAGTGTACCAGGAAGTCAGCTCCCAGGGCCCTGGCAGTGAAGTCATCCACACAGCAAGCCCCGTAGGTCACATCACCCATCACCATCACTTCAGCCTCGGTGAACCTGTGGGGAGGGGTGGTAACAGTGGGACAGTGACACAGAAGTGGGGTAGGGGAGACCCAGCCCTGGGAGGGGTCTCAGGGCTCAGCTCCTCTCCCCCTACCTCTCCCAGTTCCTTGAGTGGGCAGCTGCCACTCCTGCCAACAAAGATTAGGAGGGGCACAGCTGCCACCTCCCCCGGCCTGGCAGCAGCTCCTGAAACGGTTGCAGCATGAGGACCCTCATTCCTCTGCCCAGGCTCAGGCTGCAGGAGGGACCCCAACCCTCAGCCCAGCACACATGGGGTCCAAACACAGATGTCCCATGCCCTGACTCACCCAACCCACCCAGAGCAGTGAGCACTCATGTGCATGCATGCACACACACACACATACACACACACACACACACACACACACACGCAAAGGCACGCACTCCCACGCTGGGTGTTGCGGTGGGTGTGGCTGTATGGATACACAGAGCCTCCCTCTCACCTGGACCCCCGCTACCTCCCCACCCACAGGTAGGGCCCTCAGTGCCCAGGAAGGGGGGCCCAGGCACAGCTCCCCCGCAGCACATGGCACCACCTACACACCTCCTGCGTCAGGAAGAGGCTCTGATGCCATGGATCTGCTGCCAGGCCTGAATCACTGGGGGAGGGGTGGGGGAAGACCCTCCACCCCTAAACTCACCCGGGGAATGGAGAAGCCCCTCTTCCTTGAAAGAGGCTCACACCTGGGCCATGGGGCCTGGCTCAGTGCTGGGTCTTCCCATCCTTCCCCTGGGGGTGTGGTGGTGGAAGAGCTGAGCTGCTAGTCACCCCCTCCTCCACCCCCTTCCCCAAACCAGGCTGTGCCCAGAAGCAGATTATTCAGCTCCTTAGAATGCAGCCCAGGCATCTGAGTCAGCCAGAGCACTTAATTTTTTATAGATTAAAATGTATGCAAATTGGCCTGAGCCCCAGAGAGCATCCCCAAGGGGCAAGAGGCGGGGGAGCAGGGAAGTGAGTCTGTGGCAACCGGCTGGGCAGCAGGGGAGGGAGGCGGCCGCAGGGATGGGGGAGGTTCCCAGCAGGAGATGACCTCCCTTTTCTTCGTTCTCCGCCCCTGTTCCAGTGCTGGTTCCAGATGGCTGAGCTCTCACCCTCCCCACCAAGGATGGCTCACTGTACTGCAGAAACTTAGAATGACAGTAGTAGGACGTAGAGGAACTGAAAACCTTCTCCCAGGTACCTCCCCTTTGCAAACCTGGCCTTGCCCTACTTCCCCAAATGTGTCTGAGGAAAAGGTATCCCCTCCCCAGACCTCTCACAGGGGCAGCTGGGAGAATTCTTAGGTGCCTCCCTGAGTTCTACCACCTGCTCTGGGCCTAGCTTTGAGGATACTAGGATTGGTTTATTTCTCCGTCCCAAATATTTAGGAAAGGAGAGATTTGCAGGGACAAGCAGGGCTCTCAGCAAGCTGGGACATTTGTTTTGGGTTTTCCCTTAGTATGTATATGGTTATGTGGGAGAGACAGGGAAGGCGGAGGGTCCAGAAGGAAAAAATGCCCGCCACCAGGGCATTCGCCACCAGGGTAATGAGCATGGGGGTGGGGGAGCCTGGCTTAGCCTCTCTCCAGTGCCCCAAGCCTCACCTTTCCAAGATATCCACAATGGTGCAGGCAAAGAGGAGGAGGCCTTCTGGCATTTGCAAAGCCACTGAAAGACAGAGCAGAGACGTGAGACGTGGAGGGCCAGGAAGGGGCTGCAGTGGGGACGCTGTCCCCCTGGGCCACGCAACCTCTCCACCCCCACCCCAGCTCAGTGATGACAGGCTCACCCTTCTTGGCCTGGGCTTGTTGGATCCTCCAGATGGTCTTGGGGATCTCAAAGTTGTAGTTGGAAGGCAGGACCTGGACTGCTGCCTGCAGCTGGGGGTTGTTCAGGATCTCAGGGGGGATCTGATTGGCTACCCGGCCCCGAGGGACCCGACCTAGGATGGGTATAAGGGCTGAGTTGGTGTCTGCTTTTGACCGTAGCCAGACTGAGATGGAATGGGATCCCTTTTCAGGGCCTGCCCGGCTCCCCCAGCTCAAGCAGAGAAATAAAAATTTTGAGTCATCTCAAGAAAAATCCCGGGAATCTTAGCTAGCCCCCCAACCAGCAATTAGGAAAGTAAGTAACTTGCTAAAGAAGAAAATAAACAGCAGTCACCCAAGGGAGAGGCACAGGATGCCTGGCTCCCTGGAGAAACTGAAGGCAACACCTTGACATATACCCCCAAGCTGTTTTTCAGAAACCAGGACCCCCCACCAGATGAAAAAATGCCAACTAACTGCGGTCATGTAAGACCTCAGACAGTGTGAAGCCAGAAAAGAAAGTTCCAGAAATTCCCCAGCCCTCAACTCACTTTAAAGATCCCCCTGCAGACCAGCCTTTAAACCCCTTGCTTGTAAGCCATCAGGGAGTTCAGGTCTTAAGCCTTAGCTGCCCCGTCTCCTTGCCTGGCACCTTACAATAAATGCCTGTTCTCTCCCTGCAAAACTCAGTGTTTGGCTTTGCTTTGCAGGAGGGCAGACCCAAACTGAGTCTGGCAACAAGACCCTGCTGAGCTGTTAACTCCACCAGGTTTAAGGCCCAGATCCAGACACCAAGGGGGCTGGCCCAGCTTTAGTTCTCACTGAATTCATCCTGAAGGTAGAGACGATTCATGAAGCCGGAAGGTAACCGGCGTATTTTCCACATTGTGAAATTACTGGGAATCAAAGGCTTGAGCCCATGAAGAGAAAATGGCTCACCTGCTTCCTCAGGAGAGCAGACAGACAACAGGGAACCACGGACAACAGGGAACCACGGAGCAAAGAAGAACGAGCTGAGTCCCCCAACTGCCCCTTGATAGAGAACAGCCCTGCGGGAAACCCAAGTCCAGCTGGCCAGCCTGGCCGGTCTGGGAGCATGTTCCCCTCTCCCACCTCCTGAGGACACCTTGAAGTTCTGAGGTTGTAGATATGAGGTCTGTAAGCAAACCGTCAAACACGAATATGAACTTAAAAGACTGCCGTCCTCACTCAGAATCCCACTGACTATGCCCACACTGGCTGATTCTTTCACTCTTACCTCCCCTCCTTTAAAAGGGAAATAAACATCATACATTTAACTGACTTAATTGTCCCATTGCTCCTCCTTACTCTTAAACCAGGAAGGATGGAAAGAACACTCGAGGCAGGGTGGTGGATGCACCACTAAGGACAGAAAAGTGACCTTGTCTTTTAGGGACTAGCAGTCTAGAGGGGCAGAGACAGGCAGACACATAATTACAACTCCTGGAGTAAAGAGCAAACCCCAGCCCTTTCGCAAGGCTGTAGACCTTACTCTGGCCTCATCCTACTCCCTGTGTTATAGTGAACCCCAAGTTTCTCTTCAAAGAATCAGTATGTCAGTACGTTCAGCCTCTTACTCTTTAATTCTCTATTTTAAAGTTTAAGTTCCTTGTAATTCCAGTAACAACCTTCTCCACAGGTTCCTAGCATTAGATCACATCTGTTCCCCTGGTCCAGGCTCCATCCTGACTCATCCCAGTCACCTGCTCCAGCCACCTTCTTTGACCTAGGTGGTCACCCCCGGCTACCTGCTGACCCCCCCGTGACCATCCTTCCCGCCGCAACACCCACCCTGCCACTCCAGCTCGGACCCCTGCTCTCTTTAAAATAGTCAATCAGGGGCCGGGCACGGTGGCTCACGCCTGTAATCCCAGCACTTTGGGAGGCCGAGGCGGGTGGATGCCGAGGCGGGTGGATCACGAGGTCAAGAGATCGAGACCATCCTGGTCAACATGGTGAAACCCCGTCTCTACCAAAAATACAAAAAATCAGCTGGGCATGGTGGCGCGTGCCTGTAATCCCAGCTACTCAGGAGGCTGAGGCAGGAGAATTGCCTGAACCCAGGAGGCGGAGGTTGCAGTGAGCTGAGATCGCGCCATTGCACTCCAGCCTGGGTAACAAGAGCGAAACTCCGTCTCAAAAAAAAAAAAAAAGTCAATCAGGATTAGTCTAGCTTGTGCGGTCTAACGCCAGCCAACAGGGGAGCTACACAGCAGTAGGGACGACCCTGTCAAGCATAAGTGCCCCTTCCCCCTTGTCCAGGTGTGTGGTCACCATTGCTTCATGCGGGAGCCGCACCTTCTACAGAAGTAAATTGCCGGGACTCCATGTTTGGGTCCCCTTCCACGAACACTCCCTTAGTGGAAGCCGTCTTTCTCTCTCCTGGATTTCCCCTCTGGGGCCCCCTTCCACACCCTCTCTGGAAGCCTGTCTTCCCCTCCTAGACTCCATCTCTCTCTATTCCCTTCCACTCAGTGTGGAGCTGCTTTCCTCTCCTGGATCCCATCTTTCTGGATTCTCTCACTCAGCCTGAGAGTTAGCTGTTTCTCTCTCCTTTTTCTGATTCTCTCTCTAAATAAATCACTTTCTACAAACAAACAAGTAAATTGCCTTGCCGAGAGGATTTATCTCCGAGTGCTATTTCTTTCGTGGCATCGAAATATTACTTAGAACAATTCTGGGGGCTTGTCCAGGATTCACCGGTCTCCTCCGGTGCTTTCCGGCCCTCTGGTGAGGACACGCGTCCTGCTGCTTCCCTGCGGCAGCCTCAGGGGTAAAGGATGGGACCTACCTGGTGTGATGCACGAGGCGGCCTCTCAGCAACGCCGGGTGGGGGGTGGTGAGGCCTACAAATACCGCGGCAACCAAGCAACTCTGTGCACAGAGCAAGAAAAAGACCCTCGGGAGCCTGTAGCAGTTCCTTGATGGTCAGGACCAAGGGAAGTAAAGCCGTGGGGAGGGGGACAGTAAACTACGCCTCGGTCTGAATAGACCATGGTGAGAAAAGCCTGGGGCGTGGGGGGAGGCGGCCTGGCGGTTAAAGAGGTAGGACCTCTCCATTAGGGGCAGACTGAACCTCACACAAACCTCCAACAGTAGGGGAGGTGAGAAATTTCCAGTAAGGGAAATTGAGTCTCACCCCAAAAGGCGAGACATTTCTGGTAAGGGAAACCAAACCTTATCCCAAAATGGGATATACCCCAAGCAGAGTAAGGGGTAAACAGGATAAAGCCAACAACGGTATTCCCCTAACGATCCCTCCGCCTAACGTTAACACACACAAGCAGGTCCCGCCCCAGACCCTTCTCCTGTCCTTGCGGTCCCCTCCTTATAGCCCCACCTCTTGGGAACTGTCGGAAGAGCTCACTGCCTACCAGCTTGAGTACGCTTCCCTAAAATGACTTCAACGTAAGACAAAACAATGTAAAAGAAAAAAAAAAAAAGGTATTCAGAACTTCCCTTTCCCCTCTTCTGGCCGGGGCGGGGACGACAAAGAGGTACACACAGAGCTGCTATGGGAGCCTAGGAACGTGAACACCCACCCTGGCCAAAACATTCTACAGCAGATCAAAAATTTCCCGCCCAAGACCCCCAGTGGGACGATAGTAACGCAGTCTACCGAGAAAACATGCAGGAAAATATGCTGGTCTAGGTGCTCAGGATCTTCCTGGGCAGGGAATGTTAAGATTTCATTTTGTAGCCGGGCGCGGTGGCTCAAGCCTGTAATCCCAGCACTTTGGGAGGCCGAGGCGGGTGGATCACGAGGTCAAGAGATCGAGACCATCCTGGT